ATTTTAACTGCTTTCGGCTGAGAACTGCGTCAGCTCGACAGTCTTTTAACTCACGAAAAATTGTACATCTGCTGCATTAGAAGAAATGCCTTATAATTGTAGGTAGCCATGGAATCCTTAGCTTTGTTTTCAGGTTTAATTAATTCCTCTTCCAAATTTGTTGTCGGAATGTTGTTAACCTAGAAAGAAAGAGAAAAATAGGCCATATACCAGGTCTGAGTGTTAGTCGTAGTGTTTTAACAGCATTTCCGTTTCTGTTTTGTATCTCACGTCAAGCATTCACTGCTGTGTAGGATCAGTTTGTTTCATCTACGAAACTCAGAAAATAAACAGAAAGAGTGAAGGATATTACATATCTTTTTTCTATTATTTTCCGAGTTTATTTGGTAATGTAACTTCTCCAGTCACGACTTATGCACCAAGTTTCTGAAGAAGTTTTGAACAACAGAGTTTATGTTATACTCACCACCAGTGCAGCTTTATAAACGATTCCTCTGAGATCCTTTCTTCGAGAGTATTTATACTGGTTAAGATTGAAAATGATACCCCGTTTGGAGGTCCAGTGTCCCGCCAGAGTTCCATTTACTGGCCAGCTGTAATTTATCTTGTAAAGGTCGTACAAGATAGTTCGATCCAAAGAAGTGTCAGGGTACGCCCATGTCATCTCTGTGTCTATGCTCAGGTTGATGGTTTCTATCTCAGGCGTGTACTTATATTTACTCCAGATCAGCCAGTTGAAAGTGGCGTTAATGAACCGTCTTTCCGAGTTCTGCAAACAGTTTAAATAGTGACAAAACAACAATCTTGAAAATGCAAAATGCAAACCCAGATATTAAGCTTACAGTCAGTGAACATTTCGATTATGGAGCTCGTTAACCCTTTAAAGGATTAATGTACCACCTGGCATAACAGCCATTAATTTTGCGTTTTACGTATGATTATCACACTCTTTGTTATTTCGTAGGTCATTACTCACTCCAAATTTGTTTTATGAAATTCTTTTCCTTGTGATGCAATGTACGACACCATTACTTGTAGATATATAAAAATGTTATTCTGGGAAATTCGGTATTCCATTCTTAGACACAGAAACGAAGGCAAATAACAAGGCCACATAGGAGGTCCTATTGAACACACGTGGATTTTAGGATTTGTGGTTGTCATGGCGGCGAGTATGAAGATGGTTGTCCTCTGATCTTTAGATTACAGATAGTGGGGGCAGCAAGGACTTCATAAACGTCCGTAAATTTTTACAAACTACATGGCGGTACAACTCAGAGGACGGCCATCTTCCTAAAGGTACAATTTGGCTGCACGCGACAGAGACAAGCGACCGAGGCAGGCGACAGAGACGGGAGACGGACACATCGCAGCTTGTCGCCACACACTTTTGAGGTGACGACCGCAAAGTGTTTGTTTTCTTTGTTTTGTTGAGACATACGTGCACATATTCTGTGAAAATTGAGTACAAAAATGCTTCTAAAAAGGTTACTGGAAGAAGAATAAGATGAAGAAGAAGATGTGTTGCTGTGTTATTTGTTGCGAAAGAAACAAAGAAAACCTATGAGTTCAATATTCAAAACCAGACGTGAAGAAGGATCTTTCTGTCGGTGGTCAGTGGTCGGTTTTCTGCTACTAATTCTACCAATTGTTCATCTTGGTCACCAATAAATTTAATTTCTGCCATTATTTTACTCAACAACACACGTGCTGCCTGAGCCCATCGCGAGACACTACTGGTCCGAGAGCGGTCTCCTGTGCTTTGTCTCTGTCGCCTGTCTTTGTCTTGCGCTCGTAATTGTACTTCATACGATTGTACAGAGAGCAGACAGGAAGAGACCAGTCTCGGTCTCGTAACTCTGTCGCCTGCCTCGGTCGCTTGTCTCTGTCGCGTGCAGCCAAATTATACCTTATGATGTGACGTAGAAGTTTTAGATAGGGATTGCTTGTCACAAGTGGAAGCACTGACCTCAGCAAGATACTGTTTGCTAGCAGTACAGTCGTAGTCGAGAAAAACGCCTAATTTGTAATAGTATCCGTTCTTCATAATGGGCACCAGTCGTGGTGTATGGCTAACTGGCTGCTCGGGGTCTGGCGACACCATCCAAAACCTTCCCGACGACGTCAGAGCTTTGGCGACTCTGTAGCTGTCTAGAATAATAAGAGTGGATGGAGGCTTCTAAATTCAACATGTAATGTGACATAACTTTAGTTGTAAAGTATTGGGGAGACGCACAAATAAAGGCACATCGAACACGTAATTGGCTATGTCATCCGATGTACGTAATATAGATTTTAAGTATAAAGTGTAATAGATTTTATTTTTTATACGAACGAACAAAGCAGGGCACCGGAGCTCAGAACTATTTCATACTACGCTTAAAAGTTAATTATATATAGATGACACGTGGTTTCTTACTCTAAAGGAAGAGCATAATGTTACGCGTTTCAGAACAGTGTGTCCAGACTAAGCACAACATTAAGTAAAAGGTGACTGGTGGTTATTTCGTAATCAGAAACTTCTTAATTTGTACAGGTTATCACATTTGTTCCACTAGTGAAATTTAGGCGACTACGATGGATCGGATATGTAGGTTGAATTCTAAGACAGTAAATCGGCCGACTTGGAGTTATCATATGGAAATATTTTAGTAAGCGAATACTTGCAAGACTAATAAGGAAAATGGTTGGTAACATTCGGTGTAAAAGTCTGAAGTATGTTGTGTGGTTTGAAAGTGGAAATGAGCTGTCTCAGGACCGTGTCAAGTGAGGGTTTTGGTGTATGGGGTTTTGCACTTTCGGATTCTGGTATCAAAACATTACGAATTTGGTAACCATCAAGTCTGCTCCAACTTCGAATCCTACGAACATTACTGTTGTTACATACGTACCATGTTTAGAGCATGTGAAGCAACTGATGATACGAACATGCTTGAGTGTAAAGTAATCTTCAACAAACTGCAAAGTTTCTTCCGTCAGCTGGGCAGTGACGAAGCATGGCAGTATCAGCAGAAATATGAATGAAGCCATGGTCTTCCTTGGCATATCAACGCACTTCTCCGTCCTGAGGTTGCAATATTTATATACGGCGCATACCAAGTGAGATATGCAGGCTGCGTAATACATTTTCTTGAGCAGTGCAGTTGCTCGTGTGGTATGTGATCTGAGATACATGTAAGGGTTATTCCATTATTAAGAAGTCGTCTAATAGCTTGACGTTTTAAGGTACCTGTAAATGAATAAACTGCAAATGAGAATATTCCTTTTGTTGACTTATGAAAGAAGGCAATCAAATAGTTACGGTTACAGTAAAGTAAATGAACATTAGGTCTGTGTCTTTCAAACGTCTTATTGCTCAGCCGTAAACACTTTTGCATGTCAACGCAACTGAAATGAGCGTTTTTTAAACTGACATAAGAACGAAGACACTCAAATGTAATTCACCATCTTCATGGATTAAACTCGTGGCTCAGTCCTCTTAAAGGAATTGAAACTCTCCCTATCGTATTTTTTTTCGGTCGTCCTTGACATTTTTACCCATTGGTTGATATTGGTAGAGCGACTTTAGGATTACGTTTTGGAGAATTCTATCCAAATATTTTAGTTATTTCTTGCTGCTAGTTATATGCATTTATTAGTAAAGCTCTCGCCGCTATTTGTGCATTATAAAAAATTGACAAAAGTTTTAGTTTTGCATATTTTAATCTTTATTATTATATAGAAGAAGAGGAGAAATAGAATTTAATCTGTTCCAGATTTATTTGTGAATTAATTTTCATTTATTATTGTCATTCCCAACTGGTTAGACTTTGCCGAATTTTCTAATAATTTATTATTTCCGCGGAAATTTCTTTAAATAGTTACGCACTTTGTATACCGGCATACAGAATCATTGTTTCACTTTTAGTGGTGATAATGCTGGCCCCAGCTCACGAGTTCTAACGGCCGTGACGTGGAAAAGTTTCAGTGATGGCGTAGCTCTTGGTTACATGCAGTTCGTATGAAGTTCCATGGAAATCCGTCATTTGATTCAGAAGTTATTGTGGACAGACATTATACTCACACTTGCCCTTGTTAAAAGAAATGGGGGAAAAGGAAGCCGAGGGCTAAAATTGCTCTCTTTATCAAACGTGAAGACTTACCTGGTCTCTTACGTTAAGGGAAGAACACAGATTGAAGGTGTTAGAGACGCGATGGGTACGGCATGTAGCACGCATGTTATTACGAGAATTTTTACAAAATCCGCCTGCGGATAGGCCCGAACAACTTTCACGGCAGGTCGTTCGCTAATCACTGTTATTGCGATTGAAGCTAACAGTCATTCATTCCTTTTGTCCGCAGTAAGTTAGAACTAATTCCAAAAAGGGTTTTTTCTGTAATTATGAAACAGTTCTAATTGTTGTGTTGTGAAATGAGACTTTCACGTTTCATGAAACGCTGTTGAAGGGGATTCTTACCTATCAATTCTTGGTAAAATATCTCATTGTTATTTTACTGTATGGACACTTGTTACATTTTGACGTTGGCAGGTATTTCGTGAGTACGTTTAATCTACCTTGTGAAGGGCATTACCTGCGTTATCCACAGCATACAGCTCACATAATCACTATAATTTACCAAGTCCTTTTGAAGTGGAATATCTCTTTGATGTGCAAGTAATGGTTTGACACGGAGGCTACATACAACAAGTTTAAAATTCTGGAAACTGTTTAAAAGAAGGTTAGTTTTATCTTTTACGTGTTTTAAAAACAACAGGTCAACGAAAATTACGTACTACCATATTAGCACAGTAGTAAGGTGTCTGCCTCGCATTCGGAGGTGTTCTTATAGAACACCCTGAAAGATGGATATATCTCTACTTTTCCTGTTTTTCTTTTCTGAGTTCACCTGCTTTAATTATTTGAAAATACATACCCTCTACACTTGATAGACCGTCAGAAACTTGTAATCATATGTGAGTTAAAGATGAGAGAGAAAACGAGGAGGAAGGAAAGGAACACAGTAAATTAAATTTGATGCGAAAAGGTTGTATATGTTTATCTAGGCATTTAGTTATTTATATTTGAGGTCCTATTGGTCATGAAGGTGTCTGTGTTGATCTTCTGGGATGCATTGCCATGTGGACACGCAGGTAGATGCCAACGTTTCAGAGGAACATACTGCCTCTGTTTTTAGCCCTGATGATGGAGGCATTATGACAGGTGGAATGTAGCCTCTCAACATGTCATGTACTTCATAACTTAAAAGCGACGTTTATTTATACCCTTTTCAATGGAATTTTCCCTAATCATAGAATGGTCAGATTGACATTTTGTCGTTGTCATATATCAGTTCTTACCTTATACATGTTGAAAAGACTTCAACCATAATAACAGCCATGTTCGGAGTAGATATTAAAACGACTAATTAATTCTGCATCCCGCTATGTCATCCGCTCTTCAGTGAATGTCCGTACAAGATGAATACATATATTCTATGTGGAGATTCCGCTCACACCCATTACACTAGGATATAGGATCATTCTTGGTTGGAGTCTGTAAGTTTGTTATCCAATCAGGAATATGAACGCGTCTTAACCCCCGCGTTGAGGGTGACAGACTTCATTTCGCACTTGGACTTCGAGACTTCGCTTCTCACTTGGTACAATTTGGAACCTTAAGTAGAAAACTTCACCAACTACAATTAAATTTCAAATATCGAAGCTACCAAGAGCACGCAGTTATTGATAGCTTGACTGTGATATTTATAAATTTATCATTTACCACCTATCGTTACCTGTAACCTCAGTGTTGAACGCGTGTCTATAAATAGTGGTGACTTTCTCAAAAACATCAATCCGTGTTATCATTAGCTGATGCCAACCAGGCCGTTAACACGACCCGAGATCAGAGTCCACCCACCTATGAGCTAGGGACCCAGCAGTCATACACCCTGAGCTACCCACAACGCCCCTGGGAGCAGAGGCAGATGAGCACCTCCCTGAGACGACTATATCCACGACTGTAATCTTGAGACTTGCAAGGAATGCAAGAAGTCCGTAGCGTTAAATGCAGACTCTATCTTTCCTCCTTCACCCCACTTCCACACCCCGCAAGTCTCAAGATCACAGTCGTGGATTGTACAGCTTCACATGGTTCCATTACCGTGTAGGCTTTGTAGCTCTCACGCCATGAGCATGAACATGGATGCCTTCTGGGTTGTAGCGTGTTCGTCAGGGCTCTCGTCGCCCTGATAATGCAGCCAGCAAGTTCTTCTGAAACGTCCTTACAATTCAACCAGACTACACCCCACTACAATCCATAAGGCAACCATATTTATTATTCTTCTGAAGGGCAAAAGTTTTTGCTGTGTTTAATTTAGTAAACATCAAAACACCAGGCCATGAAGCGCGCTCTCTCTCTCGTGTGTGTGTGTGCGCGC